TTATTGTGTCTTATATCGTTTTATTTTTCTATTTTTTACCAAACACGAGGGAGATGTTAATCACGGCTCACATCCGATGGATCAAACTCATTTTTTTTACGACATAAACTCATTTTTTGATATGATTGTTTCGGTTCCCTTGTGCCAGGATGCTCATTTTTCTATGCAAATGCTATTCTGTTGTTTTGTTTTCCCATGTTTTTGTCTCTGATTGTGGCTTGAAGTGAATTTTCCCGCCGTCTCCTGAGGCGCCGGGCCGATTTACATTACGATGAATCTAAAAAGGGAAGATGGAAATATAAGGGTGAATTCGATTGAATCACTGTTAGGTCAAAACGAACACAGGTCATATGGAGTATCTACTGTCATTTGGCAAACCACTGTTTAGCTCTTGAGTTTCACATGTAGCCTGTCTGTGCCGAGTGTGTGTGTGTGTGCGCAGATGTCTCAAATACTCGTCTATGTACAACTTAGTTTTTTTTTTTTTTAGAGAAAAATAAAGAATTTGATTAATTGAATGGACTGTCCTTTATTACATACTACAGGAGAGATCCACTCTAGGCATTCTGGGTCATGAACATGAGCGTTTTGTGAAATTTGTGGCTAAATTTCAACAGGAATGTGAAATAAATATAGATTTACCCTGAACAACTCATCTGGAGCTCTGGGGATGTTTGTGATGAAGATCTTCCAGTTCGGAGAGAACCTGACAATTAAAAAAAAAATATATATATATTAATATAAATATGTATATTTTATTATTATATATCCTTTTTTTGTTATTGCTTTTCAAATTTGTATACAGTTTAGTATTTGTGTACGCTTATGATTTGATCAATATAAAAAAAAAACTATTAACTATAAAATATTACCAATTTGGTCAAATGTATGGTTAATGTTTAAACTTACTAAATATAAAAATTATAAATAAATATAAGTGACAATAAGATAGATGGATAGATATTCTACAAAAATAGGATAAAACAACTATAAAATATAATATGAAATTGTAATCTTTCAATCTTTAAAGATAATCATTCAAATAAATATAAATATGAAAATGTTAATTATACACTAAGCATTTGCAAACATGCAAATTAAACTATATGAACTAAACTAGTTTTCAAAAAGGAAAAACTGCTTTTTAAATGTCATATTTTCATATACTTTTGGTTTATTATACATTCAGAATAATAATTTAATATAAAACAATATAAATATAAATCTTTACATAAACATTCAAATAAATATAAACATTAAAATAAAAATATGCAATAAAATATAATATGAAATCATTCAAATCGATATAAATATGAATTAATTTTAAGATAGGAATTTAGAAAACGTGCTAATTAGTGACTATTAGTTAACACACTATAATCTCTTAATATAAGCATAACTATAATTAAAAAAAAGAAAGAAAAACAGCTTTATATATATATATATATATATATATACAGTATATGTGTGTGTGTGTATATAATATACTGTAAGTATTTTATTTAATATTTAAAAAATATATACATAATACAAATATTTTATACATAATATTTAACAAATATTAAAAAAATATAAATTTGATATTTTTATAATATATTATATACAATTATTTTATAAAATACTTTATTATAAAATAAAAGAACAAATAATATGAAAAACTAAATAATACGAAAAATATAAAAACAAATGTAAAATAAATAAAAACAATATACGTTATAATATATGTTAAAATAAGTATGTAAAACATTTCTCAAATTAAATTGAATGGAATATCTGGTAAGTGATTGAACTTTAAGTCCATGATAACACACACACACACTCTCTCTCACACACACACTCTCTCTCTC